CCACCCCAGCCATCGTCCAGCCCACTCTAACTCGTCCGTCACCAAGCAGTTTATTGGCGCAGGCCAGGGGGCATTGCACCCACACTGCATTCAGGCCTCCCCTCCCAGGCCTGAGGGGGCCGACCCTAACATCCGCCAGCTGCACTTGACCGTTTCTCGCTACCGCTTCGGCCACCTCCTCCGTAGTGACGGACTGGTCGATATCTATTAACCTCAGCTCCGCCCTCCGCATTGGTCTGACCACTTGCACCTCCTTGTATTCGGTCTCCGCTAAGACCTCCTTTATCCTGTCTACTAGGGCCTCCGCTTTGGCCCAAGCTTCTTCTCCCGGAATCTCAATAAGAAGGCCTCCCGCCTGCGCCTTTCTTATTCGCGTGTTCACGATGCTGAGGTCGTCTAACGAAATTTTGCTCCTAGCGAGCTTCATCACCTCAGCATACGTGACACCTCCCGACCTGTCCTTATCCTCCGCACATTTTATGAGGACCGCGGCCGTCCTCGGCGCCCGGAACTTGTTCTCTCTCACTAGAAGGGGTCGCACCCCTGCGCCTCCCGGGCCCCCCACACGTGGGCGGGTCGCAACACCAGCAGAGGCGGGCCCTCTCCGTGTCCCACTACGCGCACTCACTCCCGCCGCGCCTTTGCTCGCGCCAGTCCGTCGCACTCCGGCGTTCGTGCCCCCCACTGTGGGCGGTGGCACAGAATCTCGTTTTGAGGTTTTCACGACCCTCATTGCAGCATTCGCGTCCAGAGCCGCCTTTTTCTGCTCTTTCTTTCTCAATCGCTTGCGCGCCCTCTTTGTTCTTGCCTCTACCCAGGCCTCTCCGTCAACCGGGTAGTCCGTCAGCGGCGGCAAGGTCTCCGGGCCCCGACATTCCGTCACCGTCATGCACTGTCCCGTCTCTTGTCCGTTCAGCGTACGAACTTCCCCGCTTATCAAGCACTACTCGGCCAGTATCCACTAGCTCTTTCTGCCCCGTCTCACCTATCATTGCTGGTCGGGGGAGCCTATCCTCGAGTCTCTTACGGACTCCGCCAATCGATGGCCGGTACGCCGGAGGGAGGCTTTCCGCTGCCATATCAGCACCGTCACTCCTCGTCGGCCTCTCTCCCCTATCTCGTCCCCGGGTCCTCTTCGATGAGTCTACGCCGCTAGTCTCTCCATCCGAGGAAAGGGCAAGTCTCCTGCCTCGACTTCGTTCTCTTCTTCTGTCCTCCAGGTTCTGGACAGTGTTCTGTAGAGCACTTATCTGGTCCCTCATAGTTTGTCTTTCCCTTCTGAGGGTATCGACCTCCCGGCGTAGTTTAATAACCTCCTTTTCAAGTGCCAGGTTATTAGTTCGGATTTCATCCGTAGGTCCCGTGCCTCTCGAGATCTCGGATACAAGACGCTGGACCGCAATTTTGGCTACGTTTACGCCCACTTTAATTTGACGGCGTAGGTCGCCCTTCATTGATTGCGTGCGTCTTTCGGCTTCCCCAGCGGTCTCCAAAACTCTCAGTGTCTCCGCCATGATTGACTTTGGAGACATCTGGGGAAATAATGCCGTCACCTCCTCTACAGCATCTTTCTGACGGGATGAGAGCCTGTCGTCCAATTGGCATTCCACAAGGCCCTTCCTCTTCTTTAATCCATGGCCGCCCCTCTTGGATATTCGGAAAAAGTCTTCCCTATCCAGCTCGTCGTCCTCGTAATCCATGCGTTTCGAGCCGAGTTTCGATAGGACGTGCGACCCTGGGCAGTTCGAGCCTTTGGTTTTCCGTCCCCTCTTCTTCCCCTTTCTGGGGACCTGATCGAATGAGGAGGACAAGTCCTCCTCCGTGTCCTCTATTGAAATCGAGACCGACGGTGTCGGTGTCGGTGTCGGCTCTCCTCCAGTATTCCCCTCCTGATCAGTGTCTACCTCAATCACGCTGGAGGGGTTAGACGGCGCGTCACCCGCGCCAATTCCATCACTAGATCCGCTGAAAGCTGGTGTTTCAGCCGAGATACTTTCAGCTATCGGGGAGTTGACTATCTCTCCTTCGACTACCCTTATCCTCGTCTCTTTTGGGTATCCTCTCACTCGTGATCTGCCCCTTCTCGGCAGTGGCGCCTCCCCTCTTGCCGAGGTCGGGATCCTATCTGCCAGTCCAGCGATCGAAGCACCCGAGGTGATTGACATCACGTTGGTACGCTCGATTTGCAACCGTAGTTCTTTTCTCTTTGGTTTAGGCGTCATTCCCATCTCCTGTGTCTCCACACAAGTGGTTGGTACTCTAGCCTCCACCCCTCCTTCTTCTTCAGCTCGGACGGTAACTGATTCCGCTGCGGAGCCCGTCGGCAACTCCGCAGCTGGCCCTTCTCTTGAG